CCCAAGACACTTCTGTGTGTCCTTTTGACAGTCCATGGTACTTCCAATATTCCAATAGTCTCCCAATAGTCTTTACCTGCACCACAATTCAAATACGTTGTCCAACGTTCACACGCAAATAAGAAGATGGAGAATACCATGGCTTGAGTCAGGCACACCTCAGTCCTCAAAGTGACCTTCTTGTTCTTCAAACGCACTGCCCTTGAGTCCATGCTGCACACAGTGACTATGGGCGGAGTGGAACTGCCCCATGTGGGTTTCTGAGACTGGAAATCTGTATGGGAGCAAAAATCCTCATCTTTCCCTCAGGAGAGCTGGTGGTTTCAAACTACTGGCCTTGCAGTTAGCAGCCCAGTGCATAATTCACTACACTACCAGGGATCCTCTAAGGTGGGTTCAAACAGCCAACCTTTGGGTTAGCCACCAAGCCCTTAACCATTGTGCCACTATGTCGTCTCAGGAGGAGACCACGTGATAATGGTTCCCAGTATTTCTAAAGAGAGGTGAGATCTTTGGGGTTAAGACAAAGTAGGTTGGAAACCTATCTTTCCGTGTGACATTGGTACTAGGTGCCATCCCGTTGGCTCTGACCCCTGCCAACCTCATGCACAACAAAAAAATGAAAACCTGCCCAGTCCTGCACCATCTACACAATGGTACTTATGCCGGACCCATTTGTGTAACCATTGTGTCAATCCATCTCATGGAGGGACTTCCTCCTTTTCTCTGGCCCTCCACTTTCCCAAGCATGATGTCCTTCTCCAAGGACTGGTCTCTCCTGACAACATGCCTTGCTACTGTTGCCTTTAAGGAGCACTCTGTTAAGAGTTCAGCTCTATCATTCTTAAAACAAGACAAATAATTCCTACTTAGTGAGGTCTCAAAGGAGCCCTGGTGGCGTTGTAAGTGACTCCTTGGACTGCCAGCCATAAGTTCAAATCCACCAGCTGTTCTGCTGGAGAAAAATGAGGCTGGCTGTGCCTTTAAAAATTTACAGCCTCAGAAAGAACCCTTTATAGGGAATTTCTACTTCCTAATGAGGTACAGTCTCTGAAACCCCCAAGGCAGTTCTCCCCTGTCCTACAGGGCCGCTATGAGTCAGCGTCAACTCGATGGCAGTGGATTTGGAATGGAGTCAATAAGGAACCCTGGTGGCACATTGGCTTAAGCATTGGACTACTAACCACAAAATCAATGGTTCAACCCCACCACCAGTCCCTCTGTGGGAGAGAACTGAGACTGTCTGCTTTCCTAAAGATTTGGAGTCTCAGAAACCCCATGGTGCCAATTCTATATCACCCCCTATAGAGTTGCTCTGAGTTGGAACCAACTCGATAGCAGCTAGCTTTGTTGTTTTTATTTAATAGGGTTGCGCTGAGTCAAAAGTCGACTGGACACAGCATTTCAGAACAATCAACAGCAATGGGGTTGATTAAGGGCTATGCAGGACCTACAACCAACAGGTCTAAAGGGTGGAGGGAGTTAGTTTATTGTGCCAACCTGGCTGATAAACACATGTGGGGTTAATTGAATGGCAGAGGGATAAATGGTTCGGTGAGCCTCGCCTTTCTAGTTCTCGGGTCTCTTGCTTTCTGATGGTCAGACCAGAGTGCAGCTGCCTTAGCCAGTTCCCTGCTTCAGCTGGCAAGGCTCACTTCCTGCAAGACATCCCCAAGGGAAAAGCCACATGGACCTACCCCGATGCAGCCCTGGGTGCTGTAGCAGCCGTGTGGAGACCCCTGCCAGCGCTGAGATGCTTATATACTCACTGACTCGGCTTTCCTCCTGCAGTCGGCATCATAGTGTGTGTTTTGTGAGATGGAGGAAGACTTTGTGGATTGGTGTCAGACAAATGGGCTAATGTTGGATTTGTGGGCTTGGGCAGCACTGGGTTGGGATGTTTTCTTGATGTGCATATAACATTTATATATAACTCTCTCTTATACACTTGAGTTTCTGTGGATTTGTTTCTCTAAAGTACCCAGACTAACACAAGGGTGAACAGAATAACCGGCCATCTGAAGCACCTGGGCAACATTTGCCCCAGGATGAAGTTCAGGAGGCAGGGAGGAGTCCCACAGGCAGAGGAAGGACAACAGGAAGTGGGATGAAGGCTGTTGCGGGGAGGGGGGCGGCGCATGAAAAACTCAAACGAAAACTCCCTGCCATTGCTGACTCAGAGCGACCCCTAGTGAATTTCCAAGACTCACTGTTTATGGAGGTAAAAAGCCCAGTCTGTCTCCCCTGGAGCTTCTGGTGGTTTTGAACTACAAACCATGCGGATCACAGCCCCACATGTAACCACAGCACCAGGGCTCCTGTGGGGATGGATGTCCATGGGGAAGCTGAAAGGAGTTGAAGATGAATTGGTGCGTGAAAAACAGAGTCATCCTTTAACACTTCTCCAAGTTCCCAATGAAACGTTTAAAAGAAGAAGAAATGGCATAACAGAAATTTCTTCGCACATGCTTGGCACGTTTTCAGCCCATAAGAACCTGAAAAGCCAAACTCACTGCCATGGAGTTGATTCTGACTCAGAGCGACCCTATAGGACATCGTAGAACTGCCCCCGTGAGTTTCAGAAACGGGGACTCTTCACGGGAGTAGAACGCCTCACTTTATCCCAAGGAGCCGATGGCAGCAGCCCAGCACAAGACCAAAACACTCTTTTGGAAATGCTGGCACCGTATGTACAAATGTGCTGGACACAATGGATGGATGGATGGATTGTGATAAGATTGTACGAGCCCCCAATAAAATGATTTTTTTTTTTAAAAAAAAGGCCCAGACACTCAAATGCTCACAACTGGACCAACAGGGAGCATGCTAAATGGAGAAAGATTGACGTGGTCAAGGATTTTGGTCTTGTTTGGATCCACAACCAGTGCGCATGGAAGCAGCAGTCCAGAGATTCGAAGGCATTTTGCTTTGGGTAAATCAGCTGCACAAGACCTCTTTAGAGTATCAAAAGGCAAGGCTGTTACTTTGAGGTCTAAGATGCACCTGCCCCGAGCCCTGGTATTTGCCATTGCCTCGTGTGCATGTGAAAGTTGCACACAGTATCAGAAAGACCACAGGCGAAGCAATGCCTGTGAATCGGGGATCTGGAGAAGAATATTGAAAGTACCATGGACTGCTAAAAGGACAAACCAGTTTGTCTCGGAAGAAGGAAGGTCCGAGTGCTCCTTAAAGGCAAGGATAGAGAGACTTTGTGGGACACACTTGGGACGTGTTGTCGGGAAAGCCCAGTCCATGGCGAAGGACACTCTGCTTGGTAAAGTAGAGGGGTGACGGAAAGAGGAGAAACTCCGACGAGATGGAGTGATACAATGGCTGCAACAATAGGCTCGGGCAAAGAAACAACTGTGAGGCATGCTGGCAGCCGGGCTTGCAATCAGTGGTTCACACGGGAACCCAGCCACAGCCTCAGGCTCCATGGAAACACAGGAGCGCTGCCCCAGTCGGCCGGGAAACATCAACAGGTGCTTGAGGCCATGGGCGCTGGGGCTGAGGACATGTCCCCCCACATGAATTTGACACAGATGGCTATCACCTGAGGGCCTTTGTCCCCTGGTGCCATTCCTCTCTACCTCAAGATCTTTCATCCGGATATTTCGACCCAACCAGCTTCCTGCAGTAGGGCTATGTCCTCCCAAGGACCGGCCAAAGCCAGGACCGTCTCTGAGCTCTTACTAGGTAAGGAACACGCTCCCAAAAGGCTTTACTCATTTGCGACACAGCAGTTTGCACCTGACGGCTGACTGGCAGTTCCAGCCCACCTGGAGGCATGTGAAAGAAAGGCCTGGTGACCTGCTGACGTAAAGACAAGCGAGCAAACTCTATGGGCGCAGGGCTACCCCGCAACTCATGGATGTACAGTCAGCTAGCCTCGACTCCAGCCATGGGGTTGGCTTGGGCTTGAGGTCAGCCCCATTGGACAGCTGAGGAAGGTGAGGTTCAGAGAGGGGAGGCCAGTGGCCCGCTAGCAATGGGCAGAACGGGGTCCTAAAGGAGCCAGCACAGCTCATTCCATTCAGGCACAGTCCTGCCGGATAGCTGCCAGGCCCACCTCTGCTCTGAAATGATAGACTGGCTTCACTGCCAAGGTAAAAGGAAAGGACAGGGCGCAGGGCGTCGGGGGAGGTGTCGCTGTTGCTGTGTATGCGCAGGGTTTCTTTCTGGGGACCAAAGAGTTATGGGCGGGGCGGTCCAACACTGGGCATAATGCCACTGCAGGATGCACTTGATCTGTGGGAAAAAGAGGTAAAGTGTCTGGAGTATGTGTGTGTGAGTGTATGTATGTCCATGCTTAAAAAGTAGTGATGCAAATGATGGTCCTAAATGACCAAGTACCATAGCATCTGCCACGCCAGCACAATTGCTCCTCACGCTACATAAAGGAGCCCTGGTGACGTAGTGGTTACACGGTTGGCTGTGATCCACGAGGTCCGAAGTTTGAAACCAAGAGCCGCACCATGGAAGAAAGACGGGGCTTTGTACTCCCACCAGGAGTCTGTCTCAGACGCCCATAGGGGCTGTGCTACCCCGTCCTATAGGGTCCTTATGAGTCAGCATCGATGTAATGGCAATGAGACCCTTCACCTGGGTACCCAGCCTAACAATCCCTCCCTGCCCCCACCCCATGCTTGCCTTGCCCAAATCTCTGTGGACCTTCCCAGGTCCCGTATTTGAACCTGCCTCACAGTTTAGGATCGCTCCCTTACGAAGCTTGGATAATGTCAATGTCATTGCTTCTGCTTTCCTGACCTTCCACCGTGTACATCTCCAATAGTACGACTCTCATAGCCTTTGCTTTTCTGCCCTGGGGCTAGCCTACAGGGGCAGTTCTACTCTGTCCTAGGAATGAGAATGGACTCGCTGACAGTGGATTTGGTTTGGTTTGGGGGGCTCCACTCCTGGGAGGCCACCGAGGGTCAGACAGGCCAAGGACTCGAGCCCCCTTTGATTCCAAACTGACCGGTCTCTCTTCTCTTCCTCAGATGCCCATGCCCCCGAGGGAGATGCTGGCCCTTCAGGTACTTACCCTCTGCCCTCAAGAGCCCTGGGGAGCAGCAGACTGAACAGCGAGACCACTGAAGAGAGGGTGACCATGGCCCCCTCGAGGCCAGTGCCCTCTGGGGAGGAGCTCTCAAAACGGCAATCAGCAGGGACAGCCCCACCCTCGAATCCAGAAGCCAAGGCTCTGTCCACGCAGCCCCCAGAGCAGCCTGGCCCCAAACACACGGTGGCCCCTAGGAGGAAGTCCTCTGTTCTGAAGTCATTGAGCACGGCCAGGAAGCAGCTGAGGACAAAGCCCACCCAAGGGACTGGGGCGCTCCAGAGGACGTCCCAGCAGGTGTCCACAGAGAAGCCCCATCCCTCAGGGGACCCAGACCTGCCCTCCTCTGCAGAGATGCGCCAGTCTCCTTCGGAGGGCCCCCTCTGGATGGACAGAGAGGAAGACGCCGTCCCCACAACACCCGCTCCCCTGCAAATCTCCCCGTTCACATCACAGCCCTATGTGGCCCACACGCTCCCACACGGAGAGCAGTCGGGGCTGGAGGAAGCCCAGGAGGTCCCCCCCGAGGAGGCCAGTGCCAGGACCCTGGTGGTGGACAAAGGAGGGGAGAATGAACTGACAGGATCGGCCTCAGAGGAGAACCAGGAGACCACAACATCCACCATTGTCACCACCACGGTCATCACCACGGAGCAGGCCCCAGGTGGGTAGTAGCCCTCCACTCTTTAAGGAATAGTCCCTCTACTGTCTGCAGACATCA